CAAGAGGAAGGGAGAGAAAGACAAATATCAGTGTGACAGAGAAACATTGATCAGTTGCATTATGCTATCTTGTCATTCAGTTCCTTATTCAAGTCGCCTAAAGAGGCATTGGAAAAAGCCATTTTTCTCAATTAAAGGAACAAATAGGTTGTTGTTTTGTTTTTGTTTAAACATATTTTTAATGATTTCAGAGAGGAAGGGAAAGGGAGAGAGAGAAACATTGATGATGGGGGAGAATCATTAATAGGCTGCCTCCTCTCACGCCCCTCACTGGGGATCCAGCCTGCAACCCAGACATGTGCCTTGACCAGGAATCGAACCATGAACTCCTGGTTCATAGGTCAACACTCATCCACTGAGCCACACCAGCCAGCAGTTGTTGTTTTTTTAAGACTTTATTTTATAGAGCAGTTTTAGGTTCACAACAAAATTGAGAGGAATGTACAAAAATATTTCATATACTTTCTGCCCCTATACATGTATAACCTCCCCATTGTCAACCTCCCCTACCAGAGTGGTACACTTGTTATAACTAATGAACCTATATTGACGCATCATTATCACCAAAGTCTATAGTTTATCTTATAGTTCACTCTTGTTGTTGTACATTCTATGGGTTTGGACAAATTTATAATTACACTAGAGGCCTGGTGCATGGATTCGTACACCAGTGGGATCCCTTGACCTGGCCTGCGCCCTCTTGCAATCTGGGACCCCTTGGGAGATGTCAGACTGCCAGTTTCTACCCAATCCCCGCAGACCAGGCAGAGGGACCCCACCGGTGCACCGCAGGCCAGGCCGAGGGACCCCACTGGTGCACGAATCCATGCACTGGGCCTCTAGTATGCATATAAGATTTGGTTAATCTCTTCCCACCCTCACCTCTTCCCCCTTCCATCTGAGATTCATCAGTCTGTTCTATGTTTCCATACATGTGCATTGAGTGTCTGCCACCCTGGTGGTCAGTGCAGATCATAGCTACCGGTCAAATGGTCAAACAGTCGCTTAGGCTTTTATCTATATACTAGAGGCCCGATGCATGAAATTTGTGCAAGGGGCTCGGCCCTCGCAGCCGTGGCAGCTTGCCTCAGCCCTCGCATCCCGGCTTCATCTGGAAGATCATCCAGAAGGACATCTGGAAGGTCATTTGGCTGTCTGGTCTAATTAGCATATTACACTTTTGTTATTATAGATATAAAAGCATAATATGCAAAGTGTCTCCTCAGGAGTTTGACTGACCAGGAGTTCGATTGCTTGCTATGATGTGCACTGACCACCAGGGGGCGGCGGGGAATGAAGGGAGGCCCTGGCTGGCAGCCGGCAGCTGGGGAAGGGAGGCCCCAGCTGGCAGCTGGCAGCCACTAGGGACCCTACCAGTGCACAAATTTTGTGCACTGGGCCTCTAGTATATATAGATGTCTCCACCATTATAGTATTATACAGAATATTTTCATCGTTCTAAAAATCCTCTGTGTTCTGCCTGTTCCTCCCTCCATTCCCCTGTCTCTTAGAAACCACTGAGCTTTACCGTCTCCATAGTTTTGCCTTTTCTAGAATGTCATATAATTAGATAGAATTGCACAGTTTGTAGCCTTGTCCATTTCTTGCTTTCACTCAGTAATATTCATTTACATTTCCTCCATGTTTTTTCATGGCCTAATAGCTCTTTTTAGCACTTAATAGTACTCCATTGTTTGGATTTACACACTTTATCTATTCACCTACTGAAGGACATCTTGGTTGCTTCCAAATTTTGGCAATTATGAATAAAGTTGCTATAAACATTCATACGCAGGTTTTTGTGTGGTCAGTGTTAAAGAGTACAGTTGCTGGATTGTATGGTAAGAGTATGTTTAGTTTTGTAAGAAACTGCAAAACTATCTGTCAGAGTGGCTGTACCATTTTGCATTCCCATTGTCAGTGAAATAGATTTCCTGTTGCTCCACAGCTTCATTAGCTTTTGGTAATGTCAGTGTTCTAGATTTTGGCCACTCTAACAGGTGTGTAGTGGACAAATAGTATTTTAAGCAAATAACAAAATCCATAATTTTATACCTTTTAACAAGAAAAACATGTTTGGTTTTTTAAATATTTTTAATTAATTTCAGAGAATAAGGGAGAGGGAAAGAGAAATAGAAACATCAATGATGAAAGAGAATCATTGGTCAGCTGCCCCCTACTAGGGATCAAGCTCACAACCCAGGCATATGCCCTGAATGGGAATTATACCATGACATCCTGGTTCATAGGTTGATGCTCAACTACTGAGCCACACCCGCTGGGCAAAAAACACATTTTAATTGCAGCTACCCACACTATATTTATTCATGAAACTAAAATCATTTTAGCTCTGCTCTATGAATTAGTTGAGTCAATTTATGGTTGAATATCATTTATGATTATTCTTTCTCCCTAGATGAAATTCTTATTTCCCTTGAAAAGATTTCAGAAGAGGGAAAAGATACATTATATTTTCCGCCATAACAACAAATGGGTAATTTTTGTTTGTAGAGATTAAAATCAATACTAGTTTCAGAAGTGTTCAAAAATTAGAGAGGCTTATTAAATCATTTGGTTCCTGGATAGAATTACAGCTTTTTAATTACCACTTTCCTGTGCTTTATCCTATTTGTGCAGGAAGTCTGCCGATTATTACCCATGAGCCTCAGTTAATACAGTAGCTTCTTTTAAATTCCTCTAAGATAAACCCTGAAATATTATTTTAGCCTATAATCTGGAACACACTTTTGAAACTATATAGTTTCTTCCTTCCATGTAGAAATCAAATAATGTTGTAGGACTGGAATAATGAGCCAAATCTTTCTTATACACTGGAGATACAAGTTGCCCAAGATCTGAACTACCTACATCCTAAAATTGCTCCCTGTTGTGGATCCAAAGTTAGGAAGGCACGAGAAAAGTTGAGAATGAAATTTTAAAAATGATATTTTTACCATTATTTCTCTTTGTTGTATGACAATCCTTCCTTTGCTTTTTCATTACTTTTATTTTAGCTCTCATCTTTTAATAGCAGCATTTTCATGTTTTTCCCTTTGACATAGAACTATATTGTTTACCATTTAATTTTTGTGAGGTCCCCACCTGTTGGGAGGTCAAAGTTTTGAAAACTAAAAAACCTAAATATAGCATGTGAAAAACCTCAAAAGTATGTGAAAAAGATCATTAATCCCCACCACATTTTAACAAACATTTGAACTTCAACCTTCAGCTTGAGAGTGATTTTAGTCTTTTAGACATAGTTTAACCTAGCTTAGTTTTTCCATCTTCCATCATGTTAAAATCATCCAGCCAACGTGGGATGAAAATCAATTAATGAATAGATTTTTAAAAATGTGCAATAACATACAATGGAATGTTATTCAGCCATAAAAACTAATAAAGTACTAACATATGCTACAATTAGATGAACTTTGAAATCATTTTGTTAAGTAAAAGAAGCCAGTCACAAACAGGCACATATCATATGATTTTATGTATATGAAGTGACCATTATAGGCATATCCATAAAAAGAAAGGAGATTGGTGATGGCAGGGGCCGAGCAGAATGGGGAAGGTCCACTAATGGGTATGGGGTTTATTTGAGCAGGGGGGGGCGGGGTGAAGAAAATATTCTGGTATTGGATAGTGGTGCTGGTTGCATGAGCTTGTGCATATACTAAAAATCACTAATTTTACACTATAAAGGAATGAATTTATGGTATGTGAATCATAGCAATTAAAAAAAACATAAAAGCTACTAAAATAAGTCCACTGATCATAGTAAATAATGACAGATAAGACCCTAGGGGGAATAAGAACTGAGAAAAACTATAAGGGAAAGACAGTAAAACTGAGGACATGTAAGAACATGGGCCACTTCAGCACAGTGATAAAATTCAGTGGCTCAGCCATGTGAGGCCAGCTCTGCCAGCAGTACTCCTCCAGGCAGCCCCACAGATCCCAGAGACTGGTGACCTAACCTATTTGTAGGAGAGGATGGAGTGTCTGCTGGCTCATTAATAAAATCGTCTCTATACTTCTCTAAAGTTCCTAAGTATGAACCTGAGCCATGAGAAAAGAGATTAAATTATATGGAGGCATAGATATAGCTTTAAAAGATTTATATCAAAAAGTTTGGTTTTTTAATGTTTAAAAATTTTAATTATTGAGAAATGTTTTCTTATGTAGAATAATTAATAATTCATTCTCAAAGGATTGTATATTAATGAATTGGAATAGTATTTTCTTTTATCTTTCTTAGTTTTTTTCTGTATAAACTTTAAAATGTTTACTTTTCCCCCCTCAGCATCCTTTCCTTATTCCCATTCTAAGTATGTTTTGATATTTATTCAGGAGCCATAGTAGGTTATGAAAATAAATTAAATAGATGCAACAGCATGTTGCAATTCATAACTATTCAGAATATAAAATAAATTTAACATAAACAGTAGAATTTCCTAGAGATTAATGAGTTTTGGAGTAAAAAAAAAATCACAAAATTTAACCTCTTGAGGGATTCTTGAAAATCAAATGTAAAATAGGCATCTTACATAAAACTTACTTTTGGAAATCAATTAGCATGATAAATCTATAACTAAAATACCTTTTCACAATTATTGCTAATAATATTATTTCACTTTGGTTATACAGGAAATACCACACTCATTTATTACAGTTTGATGGTGAAGGAGGTTGGCGCTTTGAACAATTGAATACTGCAGTCCGTTTAACACTGAGTGAAGAAAAACAAAAACTAGAATCTCAGCTAGCTGGAATTCCCAAAATGCAGCAGAGACTCGATGAACTATGTAAAATTTTGGGTGAAGACTCAGTGCTGAAAACAATCAAAAATGAAGATAAAACATCATAATTTGTTTTGACATGTTTTAAGAGTTTATTTTTAGGTAAAGGCTCAGAGACACTCTGTTGTAAATGCATGCATTGTGTTAAGCTAAGCACAGAGAAAAAAGCAGCAAGAAATATTTTGTAAGATTTTAGCATCAAGGAAATATATGACCTGACTTTTCAGAAGAAAATAAGCAAATGCATTATGTAAGATTAGTCAACATGGCTTGTACTAATTCCTGGTGAAAACCTATTTCACCTGTAAACCAGGGTTTTCTAAGTGAATTAATGGTGAATACCCAATTTACTATGTGTATGTGATGTGCTTGAAATCCTTTACAAATGTGGCAGATATCTTCAGAACAGAACAACTTAAGAGCAGCATTTGGGTTGAATCAGATGCATAAAATTAGAAATTTGAATAACATTTCAGTCTATTTATGGTTATTAGGTTTAATAGCTACAATTCAGTTTCATCATTGCTAGTGGTCAATTAAATCTGTGCACAAAATAGCTGACAGTTTGATCAATAATTTGAATATGAAAAAACTCTTTTAATGACAGTGGCTAAAAGGAAGAAGCCTGGCTATATATGTATACAATGCCATATTTTTAATTTTAGGTTATGAGTGTCCTAATGTGGGCACACACCAAATTAGTTTTCATGAAACTCTTACATATTTGTTAATCCATTCTTTCATTTTAAAAAGAGAATTGCCAATACAGAAAAGGAGTATCTAAGCGATGTTTGTCTCAGCCTGTTACTTTATTTGGCAGCATTATCTATCACAACTTCTGTTCAGAAATACTTAGTTCGTTTTTGTGCACAAAGGAGTCTACCACATGTTAAAAACAGCACTATAATAATAGAATACAGGAATCTCTAAATCACAGTAGTAATAACATCCAATGGAATAACACTTTATAGTTTACAATTCTCACATCATTTTATTTTCATCCTGTGGCAATCTTTTGAGACAGATACTGTTTTTCTTAATTTGCTCTGAAAAAAATGACAGACTTGCCCTAATTATGCATTTTACTTAGGAACAGATCCAGGGATCAAATGAAGTTCTCCTCATTCCCTGGTTCAGTGCTATTTCCACTTCTCATTATCCTTAAAATCTAACTGGACTGTACTATCAATAAAAGTTAGATGAGATATGGGGAAAAAATAAATTTGGTAATGTTAACATTGTTATTTGATTATTGTTTACAACATATGGAAATTAAGTCATTGGTCTGTGGTTTAAAATGAGCCAAGAAAGTTAGCAAATCTTTCAGCAGCTATGCACTCATAATAGTAAGTTACCTCCACAGACAGCAATCAGAAGGGGAATTAATTATGTTGTAGGTAAAGTTAATATTTATTGAACATAATGGGAAAGAATCTGTGTAGAATAGTCATAGGAAATAAATCTTATCTATTCATGTGCCCTGGAGTTTGAAGTACAAAAGCCAGGGCTGGCATTTTCATCTTTTACTGTCTATACCACCATGTTGCTAGGCCAGGGGACCAAAAAAAAGGGGGGAGTGATCAGCTGTTAATGGTTTAGAATCTTATTTGCATATTTAGAGACAGGCCTAATAGTTGCTAAGTCAGTGATTCTCAGACTTTTCAGGCGTTAGGGTACCTGGAAGTCATTCTTGATTATTGAGGGAGAACATCATGACATTTTCAATTTCTGCCACGCTAACTAGGACACTTGAAATCATCAATAAATGTAACTACCTTATATGAAGGAATGCAATATAAAATCATAATCAGTACCTCTAACCTTTTTTTTTTAGTATAGTTAGCTACTCACTTATTCACTTGTCAGTTAATACTACTTCTTTTATAAAAGCGAGGCGAGTATCAAAGGTTTAGGAATAAGCACAGAACCAAAATTTAAACTTAATAAAAATTACCCGCTAACGATAATTTCTATGTTAGCAGTTATCCAGTTTATACTGCTTTGGGGGAAAATCTGAGGCAAGCATCCATAAGTTAACTTTTAAGGGAAAACGAAAAGTCCTCATTTGAAACATATGTATAATTTTCATGCCTTAATTTTCATAATTTGAAAAATAAAGGCTTTAGGACCCAATATATTATGTTTTAAAACTTTGAGCAAAATGCCAAAACAAATATTAGATTTGTAATTAGCCCTTATGTAATATATCCTACCAATGGGCTGAAGTAAATAAGACTCATTTATATGTACAGGATTCAAGGATGTTTAAAATTTTGTACTAAAAATTACACACACTATAATTTAAATGTTAAAGTTGAACAGAAACATGTTTTCCATGAACTTTTTGTGCCTCTTTATTTTCTGAATTTTTTTCTAGGACCAATATCCTCTAATTTGGAGAGGAAAAATATCTGTGATTTGAATTTCTATTTATGTACTATATAACATATACCATATTTTACTATTCTTATATTTTATAAAAAATATGAACAAGATTAAGAAACAAAATAACCATCTTTGAATATAACAAGGAATAAATGAGGAACAGAAAAAGAAAATATACTTTAATTTTCAAACTACTTTGAAACCATGTTATCTATTTTCCCAAACTATTGACTTCTTTGTTTATTTGTTTTTTTTATTTTTGTTTGTTTGTTTGTCAGAGAAAGCTGCAAGTTTATGAAGCTTGATTCTTAATGTGCACTTTTGGTTAATTTTTAAACTTGGAAAATAACTTGCATTTGGTGAAAATGTTGCATTCTATTTCTACAGCATGTAGTGTTATGCCAAGCATGAGTTTAAAATAGTATGTGTTCTTGCAAACAAGATATTGTGTAAAAATCCCTTCCCAGTAATCTCAAGGAGAATGATATATCTTGAAATTCAACCCAAGTTTACATTTGTTTACAATGGGAATGGTTTTCCCTTGATAGTAATTTGGTTTTTGTGTCAAATTTTGCTCTGCCAATGAAGGTAAAAAATGAACATTAGTTTTTTATTTGTGACTTTGGTTCCAAGTATGATTCCATATTTGGCAATAAGGAATCTGTTAAGACCTGGAATAGTTTTTGATTCCATAAGCCTAGAAAAATTGGTTACACATTGGAACCCAAATCCAGAGAATGTTATATACTTCTGATGTGTGCAGAAAATGGTCATGATTATTAAACCATTGATGGAAAGAGATGCCTTTGATACTTTATGAGCAAGATTTATCCGCATGTGGAAGTGTAAGGTCCTTTCACCTAACCCAGGGTATTTACATTTCTGCTGATGCACATTTAGGAATGTCCAGTATGTTCTAGAGTTGGACTTGTGCTGTTTGCCACATGAGAATTTTCAGGTGGTGTATAAAATATTTTTATTAAAAACAAATCCCTTCTTCATTGTTGGTGTCTCCTAATGACTAAGTACAAAACTGCTTTACAGTTTTTAATCTGAAAATTTCAAAACCAGTTATCTATGCTTATCAGCAGGGGTTGTGTTAATGAAAGCACATGAGAAAAAATGTCCTTAATGGTAAAAATCACTATGTAGCTAAACTAGAATGTGTCTGGGTGTGAATACATTATAATATAGTCTCCATCCCATGTGCAGTTACTTAAGCTCAACATTCCTTGTGAATTTCTTAAGCATCATGAAAAAAATCTTGATTAATCAAAGGAATTCCAGGGGTTGAAAATGCCCTATTTCTGTATTTTAAGTGACTCTGTCAGGTATCTGTCTCCATACACCTCAGTTACAAGTTGAATATTGTACAACCTTATCTAGGACTATGCGCAATAGTCACCAAGGAGTTGCTTAAATATTTATTTTCTTTATTAATTCAACACACATTTATTAAGTGTCAACCTATGCCAGTCACTGTGCTAGGATCTAGGAATAAATAAAATATGTTCCCTGTCCCAAGAAGCTTACAGTGAAAATTAGGAAAATGAGCACCCTCAGAGAAAAAAGCCAACAGCTACTAATCTATTATTTACCAAGAAGGCACAAAGCATTGTATATACAATGAGAGGAAAGTCGAGACAGAAAGGCTAAGTAATTCATCCAACCTCATACAGCCACAAAGCTATAGAGCTGAAATTTGAACCTAATAATATTTGATTACAAAGCCTATAGAACTCCCCATCACCTTCTTTTTAATTAGTTTAGGTCAGTTTCATTATTTGTTTTTAACCCTAAAATTGTAAGTATATTTTTAACTGGTTCAAACTTTCTGGTTAACCAAACAGATGCATTTTTTTATCTAAAAGAAATTTATCTAGACATCACACAAATTGTATTTTTCATTGTTTTTATTATGAATGATGGAAGTGGTCCTATAGGAGGAAAACAAAAAGCAAATTTTAACATGTTTTCAGGAAAAAATGTCCAGACTGGTTAACATTCATTCAGTAAATATTTACTAACATTTTCAAGATCACTAGTTATTGTGCTTGGGACTCAGAAGTGAACAAGGCAGACCTGGTCTCAGCCCTCATGAAACATTTTAGTACATCAATACTAAACAATCGTATTCCTATTAGATTTTGCAGTCCCATCTAAACGACATATTTGTTATGTAGTATCTTCTCAATTCTTGTATTTCCTGCCTTAGACCACTCTGGTGCAACATTCAAGCGATAAGCAGGGTTCCCTTAACTACACACTTAAAGGCTTCATAATTCTCATGCCCCTCAACTTGGTCTAAATTATAGGTCCAATGAAATCAGTCTTTAGGACTGTATCATCCTTCACCAGTAGGTGCTCCCACACATTAGCATATTATCTTAAAACCTGAGAAACATTCATTAGCGTCTCAAGCTCAGATTGCATAAAGTGAGCCAGTTTTGTACAATGAAAAGCATCTCTCTTGTGTTAACACAAAATGCAGATATCTATAGTAGGAAAGCTCTCAAAAGCAAGAAATTTTTTAAAAATCAATACAAAAGTGAATACACAAGGCTTCCAAAATTAAACATATTTAAAATTATGTGCTCTCTCTCAGTACTTGTGACCCAGTGTAGAAGATAAGGTAATTAATTATTCACCTTGTGTGTTTTTATGAGATTTAATGCCTATAAAATAGAATATGCAGTAATGAGGCAATGAAATAAACACTAAATAACATTTACTTGTTTATATCATTTAATTATAGTTAGTTTAATCCATATAAATAGGAGGCAAGCTTACTAGTATATGTCAAATATTTAATTTTCATATGTTGAATATATTAAATTTAATAATTAATATGTATTGGGCCTAGACATTATGTAAATGTATAAAATTAGAAAATCTTACACTAGAAAAATGTCTCAGGACTCACATATAGATGAGGCAGAAGGGTCCTATAATCAGATGGCATTTTATTGGGAAGATAATATAGGGTGTTCCCAAAAAATATATACACACTTCAACAGCTGATAGCTCAAATTTGAAAATGAAGTGTATTTTAATAAGCACTGCCTTTATAATTATTCAAAGTGTGTGTATACATTTTGGGGGGACACCCTATATAATGGGATCTCTTGCAACATGCAGATAATGATCATTCAAGAGTGATGAAGACTGATGAAGCAAGTGTCAAAGTCCCCTGGGTTAGACTAGCTTATTACTTAATATGGGACAAGTTTCAAGGATACATATAGGTGGGGTTTAGAGAAATGAGGTTAATGTAGATCCAAGCAGATACATATTTTTCTGCAACCTAACACACACTCACACATACAACTTCTTAGAAGTTTAATACAAAAGTAGCATAACAATTTTGAGAAATTAACTGAATTTTTTTATTGATAAACATATTAAATTTACCCTACGAACCATCTTCAAGTGTATGCTTCATCAGTGTTGAGTACATTCACGCTGTTGTAAAACAGATCTCTAGGAGTTTTTCATCTTACAAATCTGAAACTCTATACCCATTAAACAGGCTCCCTACTTCCCTCTCCTCCAACCCTGGTAAACACTATTCTATGTTCTGTTTCTATTAATTTAACCACATTGGCTACCTAATCCTAGTGGAATCACACAGAATTTAGTGTGTGTGTGTGTGTGTGTGTGTGTGTGTGTGTGTGTGTGTGTGTGACTGGCTCATTTCACTTAGCATAATGTCTTCAACATTCATCCATATTGTGGCACATGATAAGATTTTCTTCATTTTTTAGGCTGAATAATATTTAATTGTACGTATATACCACATTTTGCTTGTCTCTTCTTGTGTTGATAGAATGGGTTGCTCCCACCTTTTGGCT